GGATCTCTCATATATTGTACTGTGTTATTATCTGTCCGTCGATTAAATCCTACGCACAAGCTACGTAAGAACCCAAAATCCTATCTCATACACTCAGCCGAACAGTTGCGTAGTTTTACAGATTGTGTAGTTTGTCATTTTCAGCTGACGAGCTCACAATTATTGCTGGATTATTGATGTGGAAAAAGCTTCAATGGAGGCTGTAGCTATGTGGGATTTTGCTTTGGCCCATTTCGATGCTAAAAGACTCGGTAAAAATATGTCACACACTACACTGTCTACACAATTGTGCTTGTTCTGTGGTTTTCTGCGATTTTTCCGGTGAGAAGGATTAAAGAGGGCTGAATTTTGGCATATGTCTGTGTACTGAGCACTGTATAAGGGGAAATCAGTTATTACCACTTATTTCGATTTTTTCCCTCGTGTTTATTCGGGACAAATACTGATAGGCATAGGTGGCAATGCTCGAGCTGCATACACTGTAGGCTACTCAACATTTGTAATTGTTATCGTTCTTGTTATTTCATTGTATGATTGTCTTGTTAATTCAAGATGCATTCACAAATATGTCACAGTTGTGCTTGTTCAATGGTTTTCTGTTTATTTTTCCTGTTAGCATAGGATAAAAGAGGGCCGAACTTTGGTATTTGTGTGTGTATTGAGGATTGTACAAAGTGAAGCTGTGTTTCGATTATTGCTACTCATTTTAAAATTTTTTCTTGTGTTTATTTGCGACAAGTACTCAGTAGTTTTATGTGGCAGTGCTCGAGCAGCATACGCTGTAAGCTACTCAACCATTATGATTGTGCTTTTTCTTGTTATTCCATTGTTTAGTTGTCTTGCTATTTCAAGTTAAATCTACTCAACCATTCTAATTATGTCTTTTCTTGTTATTCCATTCTCTAATTGTCTTGCTATTTCAAGTTAAATTGTAGGCTGTCAATCCCTTCAATCGAGCTTTATTTTTATATTTTTTTTGCAGGCCAAGTTAGAGGGGGTAGTAGGGCTTTTCATGTGGTAATAACTCATAATCAGACGAGCAATGTTTATTCTAGTTGATCATACTGTTCGCTGCAATACAACGCTATATCGGATTTTGCCATGTGACCTTTAAACCATTTTGGTACTAGCTCAACTGCTCAAGTAATGCAAATGTGTTTTTCTATCATTGTGGTTTATGACTTCGTTAATATAACCAAAGAAAGAAAATTTGGGTGGTGACGAAACTCGTTCACTCTTTTCTGTGTTTGTGTATGATGTGTTCTCCTCTCCTCCATCTCCTAAGTCTAGTTTTTTGTGATTGTGATAGTGTATGATAATCGAACAATTTCAAATTGCTGATGTTCTATTATTCCTTCCTGTTTGTAGGATTATTTGCTGTATTATTTTCCTTCACTAACTGTGGAGTACAAAGGTACCAACAGTGGAAAGATTGTGTTAGTGGAATTTTGAACTGTCTGTTCTATAAGTGTTTGCGATTAACTGTGAACCTAAGTATCGACTTCTTTTCGTTTTTCGTATATATGGCTTTTTGAGTACGCGTTCCATTAAAGTATAAAAAGGATTTTACATGTAAGTTTTAGATGGAATATATCTATGTGTAAATGGAACTTTGAAATTTAAGATTGTTTTAAGTTACAGGGAATGATTCAAACTACCAGCTTTCTTAGAATTTCTTATAAACAAGATATTTTCACTCTTGGGAATTGAGGCGTGCCTGTGGAATGCTTATTCATGTTTTTCAGTCCCTTCTCATTAATAATTTATTTGATTGATTATTCTTCGTTCCTTAAGACCATAAATCAAAAGTTTAAGAATCTCAAAGAAATTATCATAGCTTCTTCATGTTATCCTTGTCATAAGAAATCAGAGAAGCAATCGGTCAAGCAATATCTGAGTTACTAACCGTGTTGGCTCATTAGTTGGAATGATTACAGGAGCAAAAAATTCACAGTTTGCATGAGCTAGAAATTGGCGTTACAAAGTCATTTTCCGTTCACTAATTATTCATATATTTGCCTTAAAATCTGCTGGGCTATGAATTCTCTTTATTATGGGGTTAAAGTCCATAATTATGCTAAGGAAATCTTTACATAGTGTCTTACTTATTGTACTTAATATGTAGTGTGTTGATAGTTAGCCCTTATTTGTGTAGAATCGACATGAGTATCCATGAATATATCTTGATTGTCAAGGATCTTGAGATTATTAAGATAATACTGATTTGGTCCTTAGCTCGGAGCTAATAATCAAACTAACAATCTGATTAGGATAATACTTTGCCGCAGCTTTTTGCGCTGGAACCCGACTCCCGAGATTGGAAGCAAGTTGCTGGTTTTACCGCCCTTTTCTGTACATATGTTCAATTTGCTAAGGATTCCACATCTGCTTAATGCATATCCACAGGGTGAGCAAGCCGTCTATCTCTCTCTATATTTATATATATGTGTTATTTATTATGTCAAGTGAAATTGATTTTCATTAGAATTCAAGATCTTCTTTGAGGCCCTTCTGAATGCAGTTTTATGTAGATACTTTCATCTCCAGCAACTAGACATTACTCCCTTTTGTGATACGCTAGCTAATATGGTTCACGGTCATTGTGAAAATCGAAATTGTAACATGCTAATGCACAGGTTTGGTGAGTAACTTGATTGCAAGTATGGTTAGGCTTTTTGTTGGAAGAACAGTTATTGAGTGACAAAAGTAGACAAAAGATTTAAGCACATATGCCAAACTTGAAAAATAAGAAAAATAGTGAAGGTGAAGTTAAGTTCATTTAGGATTTTTTTTTCCTAGTTTAGTTCTCCCATCTCTGTCAACCATTGTTTCAGTACACCTTTCTAGTGCCTTTCTAGTGTCTAATTGGTTTGGTTTAGTTGAAATTTTGTGATGTGTGCCTATTATTAGATTGATTTCTATTTGCCTACCTGTTGTATTAATTCCAAGTATGTGAAGGTGATTGTTGGAAAGGGAAGTTGATTGTGTTTCATATAAGTTACATAGTACTAAGGGGTGTAAATGAGCCATGCTCGAGCTTCTAATACTTGAGCTCAGGCTCATGCCTTTAATGAGTTGAACCGGTGTTAATTAAAGGAGCTAGTAAATTAACGAGCTCGAGTTCAGTTCATTTATCAATATTAACGAGTTGAACTATAGAAAATTACATGAAAATTCTTAATTTTGAGCCTTAACAAGTTGAGCTCGGCTCGACTCAGCTCAGCTCGACTTGTTTAACTAAACGAACTCGAGCTCGTCTCAAGTGACTTATTTCGTTTTAACAGACCTACATAGTATACAATTTGTGGTTAATGTAAAAGTTGACCTAACACAGGGTACCTTGTATTGTTAAGTTAATGTATTGCATTTAATGAGGCAGTCACTGGTATATTTGTGTTAGGTAGGGCTGTTTCATCATACATGCTAGGGTGTAATCGAGCCTAATCGAGCTCGAGCCTTTAATGAGGTTCGCTAACTAAACGAGTCAATAATCGAGTTCAAGATTTATCATTGTTAACGAGTCGAACTCGAGTCTTAATAACTCAAACTATAAAAAAGTTATATGGGGGAAAAGGAAAGCCCATATGAAGCCCAAATGAGGTTCCATCCCAAAACCAATTGGTGAAAGGAGGAGTAGCCCATTAGACTTATAAGGTGGGTCTATTTTCTATGTGTGAACGATGTGGGACAACTCACAAGTGATATTCTAACACTGGGACAACTCACAAGTGATATTCTAACACGCCCCCTCACTTGTGAGTCCTGATATCATGTCTCTAACCCAGACACAAAGTTGGTCGGGCTCTGATATCATGTCTCAAACCTGGCTCTGATACCATGTAAGAAACTGGGGGAAAAGGAAAGCCAATATGAAGCCTAAATGAGGTTCCATCCCAAAACCAATTGGTCGAAAGGAGGAGTAGCCCATTAGACTTATAAGGTGGGTCTATTTTCTATGTGTGAACGATGTGGGACAACTCACAAGTAATATTCTAACAAAATCTTAACGACCTAAGTCCGACTTGTTAGCTAAATGAGCTTTCAAAGAGCTCGAGCTTAGTTCGTTATGAAATGAGCCAAATTGAACTTGAGCATTAATGCGCCTAGTTGAGTTTGCCATTTTTTTTGGTTTAATAAATCAAATTTAAGGCTACAATAAATGCATGACATTTTATAATACAATAATATTTAACATTTTTGTTTAACTGCTGTAAACGAATATTTTTAGTTTGGTGAACGACATTTTAACTGAATTTCAGTAATATGTCTATATTAGTCCATTTTTATAAAAATGAACTTACTTTAGTTTGGTGAATGACATTTGAATTTCAGTTTTATTATCCCGTTTTTAAGAAAATGAACATTTATTATAGTTTTGTGAGTGACATTCTAATCCGATTTTCAGTATTGTGATCTATATTAGGCAATTTTTATAAAAATAAACGAATAGCACTTCAGTAGTTCAGTTGACAAACATGTATGTTAACTGAATGGATTATGAAATGTGTCCTTTACATAATCCTGACACGTGTGTGGAGGCAAAGTGACACATTTGTTATCAAATGTGTCAACCTTACACGTGTGTCAATCAGGTCCGTAGCTTCAAAATTCCCCAAAATAGTAATAATTTGTTTAATTATCTCTGCTTGTTAGTTCTTATATAGTATAATCACTTTCCAAAATACTAGTTTTCAACTATATATCATAAATTTTCCTACAACATACCCAATATATTCTCTACTGGTTGGGGTTTGAGGGGTCAGTTATACGCAGACCTTACCCTTGTAATTATACAAGGAGGCTGTTTCCATAGCGACCCAAGGTGCATTGTGTCGTTTGATATATTTTTTTTTCTAGAAACTTCACTAATAGAAGAAGCGATAGAATTTATTTGAGCCATTTTGATCTAGTCCATTATTAGCACTATGCCAGGAGAATTGTCAATAATGACTCTTCTAGCTCCATTTGCAATGGAAAAAAATTTCCCTGTGATGTACAATATAGATAAATCACAATATTGCACTTGATCAAAATCAAATTAGTGCGGTATCCGTGCGATGCACGGGTTAATTTTATTATGGTAAATATTTATATTTAGATGATTGGAAGAACGTAAAAACCATGTATTGCAATAAAGCAAAAAATATAACTTATATATTATTATTAAACACAAAACAACGTACCTCTGTCTAAATCGTATTTAAGAAAATAAACACTTGACACCCATATATGTTAGGATTCTAAATAAGCTTAAATAAATCAATTAAATTATTTAGCAGGATACATATATGATTTATATTGGTTTTATGAAGATTGCATAGCTAAATATAACGGATATTGTAAAACATATTTCTTGATAATCTATAGGCTTATTATTTTAAAATTGTAAATTAGTTAATTTAAGGAAGGAAAAAATTGTGTACGTGTATGCAATCACTTTCAAATTTGTATTCTATATGATTAAACAGAATCCAAATTTTTAGGATGTTCTAATCTGATTCATTTTGAATTTCAAATTAATATTATCTAAGATTGTTATGTTTTCTAATAAAACCCAAACTAAAGAAAGTAGTAGCCAAATTATAAGAGATTTTTAATTTTTAATTATCAATTTGAAATTGGACCAATTTCTATGCAATTTTTTTTTTAATAAACATGATCTGTTGCAATTAAGTAAAGATACAACATATTTTGTCCAATTCAAAATTTTTAATTTTATGGTAAACATTTTTTTAATAAAAATAAAGAGTTTTTACTTTTACAAATTGTCATGCCGAATTAACCCGATTTTTATGCAATTTGATTTTTTATAAACAATTGACCTGTTGCAATTAGGAATCGATATATGCGATAGTATTTTGCCTAATTTAAAATTTTCGATTTTATGGTAATCAGTTTTTGTTTTTTTTTTTTTATTAAAAAATAAGAAAGAATTTTGAATTTTGCAAAATTGAAGCATCAGTCAAAATTTACCTAAATCAAATCCACAAAATCCATAAACTTAGAGGGCATATATAGCGGCTCGATTTTTTTGGAATAATTTGAAAAGAAAAATTAAATATCAATTAAAAAGTAAGAATATAGCTCTCTTTATATATATGTATTGATATTTTTAAAAAGTAAGAATATCAATTAAATAAGTAGATTCAAATTGGTAATATAACTTGTCAATATCAAGTAGGTACACATCATTCATACATTTTGAAATATGGTGCATATAAATTTGATGATGTGTTTTGTTTGGTTTTGCTGTAGAACCAACAATTGACTTTATAGTGGAGTCAACCTTTTATATACAACAAGTAAATCTACCATATTATATGATTACTTAGATAACATTAATATAATTTTATTTGTATGATAGATTTATTTGTTGTATATAGAAGGTTGACTCTACTATGAAGCCAACTGTTGGCTTCATAGCAAAATTTTATATGTCATGATTACCAATATTTTTTACATTCCACCTTCAACAAATGAACATTCTTCTAGATAAGAATATAAAAATCAAACACAAAAGATAGCATGTCTAAAACATTTTTGTCACTCTAAATATTCAAATCTGACATAATATTTGATAAGATAACACGTCTAACATTATCTTATGTAAAAAATATATCTCCAATTCCACTAGATGAATGGTGAAAGCCACACTATGATAGGGCAAAACTTCTATGATCTTTACCCTATCAATTAAAGCAAACCCAATGTGGTAGGCTCATTAAATGTATGTGGAGCCAAAAATTTATTTTCTTTTCTGGTGGAGGTTGATTTGGGTGCAATGTGGGGGTAAAATTATTAAAACAAAGCCAACTACCACAATAATAATAATAATAATAATAATAATAATAATAATAATAATAATAATAATAATAATAATAATAATAATAAATTAATAATAATAATTGACCATTACATGGTGATAGTATACTTATAAAGGTAAGAAGAAAATGATGAAAAATATTGGGAAAAAGGGCATCACATCAAATGCCATATTTCACATGCATCCTATGATAGAGAGAGACTTCTCGTTCTGTACATCTAATGTCTATATTATAGCACATGATATCTTTCTTTCTGTGTTAAAGAAGTTCGAAATATGACAAAAAGCAGATCATAAGTCAAAACTCCCTCTCCTTAAACACACTTTTGTTTCATATTTTTGGTCTAAAAAGCAGATATTT